CGGACACCTCGCCCACACTGCTGTGGACGGGGGAGGTTGGCGATGCGTCGCGTTTCCGGGTCTGGGGTGCTCGTGCCTTTGTCCGCGATCTCACCGCGGACAAGCTCTCTGCTCGCGCCATTCCCTGCGTCTTCCTTGGTTTTCCTCCTGACGCGCCTGGCTGGCAGTTTTACGACCCCACCTCGCGCCGTGTCTTTGCGTCTCAGGACGTCACCTTTGACGAGTCTGTTCCCTTCTACCGTCTCTTTCCCTACCGCACTGCCTCTCGCCCCCCCCCCCGCCGCTCTTTCTCGCTCCAGGTCCTCCCCAGGTAGACCCCCTCCCCGCGCCAGGTCCTGCTCCCTCAGGTGTTTCTCAGGTAGACCCTCCGGTACCTACGCCTGCTGAGGTCACTGGTGACTCCGGTCCTGCTGGGGGTGGTCTTGCTCGGGGTGCTGTGCCTGCGCGTGAGGAGCCTGGAGGTGCTGAGCCTAGGGGTGCGGAGTCTGGGGGTGCTGTGCCTGCGCGTGAGGAGCCTGGAGGTGCTGAGCTTGGGGGTGCCGAGTCTGAGGGTACTGAGCCTACGCGTGAGGAGCCTGGAGGTGCTGGCGCTGGAGGTTCTGGAGCAGTTGGGGGTGCTGGCGCTGAGGGTTCTGAGTCTGCTGTTGCGCGGTCTCCTTGGAGTAGCCGCCTTCGTCCACGTGTGCCTCTCACCTCACAGCAGCTGCAGGACCGGTACGGTCGCCGTCAGGGTCGCGCTGCTGGAGCCCGGGGCTCTACTGCTGGAGTCGCTGGTTCCGGAGGTGCTCGTACTGGAGGTACTGGAGCTGTTGGGGCTGGGGGTGCTGCGTCTGGAGGTGCTGCTGCTGGAGACACTGAGGTTGGAGACCCTGGGACTGGAGGTGCTGGTTCTGGGGGTGTTGCTGCTGGAGACACTGAGGTTGGAGACCCTGGGACTGGAGGTGTCGGTTCTGGGACTGGAGCTGCTGGAGGTGCTGGAGCTGCTGGAGGTACTGGAGCTGCTGGAGCTGCCGGTACTGGCGCAGCTGCGCCGACACGACTGTTCTTCGCTCCGCCGTCTCCGTCGTCTCTGCCGCCGTCTGACTCTGCTCTTCGTCAGGTTCTTACTCTCCCGTCGTCTACTGGTCTTCCGTTACAGCCTGGCTCACCGCTGCCTGCTCCTTCTCCTTACACTGAGCAGACTGGTAGTCCTGCTGAGCGTCGTGAGCCTGCGTCGCGTCCTGTCTCGCCTGCTCGTCCTGGTCGTACCGGTCGTCGTGTTCCTCGTTCGCGTCAGCCGGCTGTCCCCAGCGCACACCTCGTAGTCCGTCGTCCTTCCTCTGCTCTGCAGCCTGTTCCTCTGCCGTCTCCTCCTGCGTCCTCTCTACCTGACGTTCCAGACCCTGAGTCTGACCGGTTTCGTGCTGAGCACCCTACTGTCACGCGTCTGCTAGCCACTGTTGTCACTGACCCGTCGTTTGAGTCTACTGCTGCGTCTGCTCTTGTCGCTGAGCTTGTTGACTTTGCTGCTGCCTGTCGTCTAGACTTCGCTGCCAGTCTTGTTGCTGAGTCTGAGTCTGTCTGTCCTCCGTCCATCGGGGGTGAGTGTGCTCTTAGCACGGACGTCCTTGAGGACAGGCACGAGGACCTTGAGTGTCTTGCGGCTGCTGCGCCTCATCTCGTGGCCATGCTGCTTGCCCCTGAGGGAGACCCGGATGCACCAGACATCCCGACCCCGCGCTCTTACGCTGAGGCGATCGCGGGTGAGTACTCCTCTCAGTGGCAGACAGCCATGGACGCAGAGATGGCATCCTGGAAGTCCACAGGTACTTACGTCGATGAGGTTCCCCCTCCTGGGGCGAACATCGTCGATGGCATGTGGATTTTCAGGGTGAAGCGGCCGCCGGGTTCTCCGCCTGTCTTCAAGGCTCGTTACGTTGCTCGAGGCTTCAGTCAGCGAGAGGGAGTTGACTTCTTCCAGACCTTCTCCCCTACCCCGAAGATGACTACTCTTCGGGTGCTGCTGCACGTTGCCGCTCAGCGTGACTACGAGCTTCACTCTCTTGACTTCAGCACAGCTTTCTTACAGGGCAGCCTGCACGAGGAGATCTGGCTGCGCCGCCCACCTGGCTTCACTGGGTCGTTCCCTCCTGGTACCCAGTGGAGCCTCCGGCGGCCAGTCTACGGTCTCCGCCAGGCGCCACGTGAGTGGCACGACACACTGAGGACGACACTGGCGGCTCTTGGGTTCGCTCCTTCGACAGCTGACCCGTCGCTGTTCCTGCGCACCGACACTTCGCTGCCACCGTTCTACATCCTCGTGTACGTCGACGACTTAGTCTTTGCCACTGCTGACACTGAGGCTCTCGCCTTGGTGAAGTCGGAGCTGCAGAAGAGACACACGTGCACAGACCTGGGTGAGCTGCGCAGTTACCTTGGCTTGCAGATCACTCGGGACAGAGCACGCCGCACCATCACACTGACTCAGTCACACATGGTGCAGCAGGTTCTTCAGCGCTTCGGCTTCACCTGGTCCTCGCCATAGCACACTCCTCTGGCTACATGTCACTCGCTCTCAGCTCCACCTTCGGACGAGTCCGTAGAGCCGAGTGGTCCTTACCCAGAGCTAGTGGGCTGCCTCATGTACCTGATGACCTGCACTCGTCCTGACCTTGCGTACCCTCTTGGCCTTCTCGCTCGCTACGTGGCTCCTGGTAGGCACCGACCAGAGCACATGGCTGCTGCTAAGAGGGTACTGCGCTACTTGTGCAGTACATCGGGCATGGGGCTCGTGCTTGGAGGACGGAGCGAGGTGGTGCTCACTAGGCACTCAGACGCGTCTTGGGTTGACGACCAGGCTACACAGCGGTCGTCACAGGGTTACACCTTCAGCCTTGGCTCTGGTTCAGTTTCGTGGCGTTCTACACGTTCGTCTTCAGTTCTCAGCTCCAGTTGTGAGGCTGAGATCTATGCCACAGCCATGGCTGCACAGGAGTTACGCTGGCTCACCTACCTGCTGACTGACTTGGGAGAGCAGCCTCGTTCTCCTCCAGTGCTGTACGTTGACAACAAGGCGGCCATTGCCTTGTGTGAGGAGCACAGACTGGAGCACAGAACGAAGCACATTGCTCTGCGTTACTTCCTGGCTCGAGAGTTGCAGCAGCGAGGCCAGCTTCGTCTTCGCCACGTGGCCACTCGGGCCAACACTGCTGATATATTCACCAAGGCACTTCCGTCTGGTGATCATCAGCGCTTTTGTACTCTGTTGGGCCTTGTGCCTACGTTTCCACACTTGCTGTAGTCTCTGCTTGTACTGTGATCTATATATATACCTGCATGCTGGCTCTTGCTAGGTAGCCATCACTGTACTGTCATTGCTGCATATATATCTCTGCATGTGAACTGGCCTTGTGGCCATTTGCTTGTGCTCTGAATGTGTGGTGACGTTGTGATCCACCCTGAGCTTGTTTTGCTTCTCTTGACTGGTCTTGTGACCCGTTGCTCTCCCCCACTTTGCCTATGGGGGTGTGTCAAATGATATATATGTGTGATATATATTGGTAGGCTGTAGTGGGGTAGATGTTATAGGGGATAATACTTTAGGGTTGTGTTTCTTGTACCAATCTCTCTCGTCAATGCAACCAACCTTGCCTAGCTATCTCGACATGCAGCTCAACAGCAAAGAAGACGAACGTAGAGGGAGAAGCGTCAGGGGCTGCAGAAGTAGGTGCCACAGTAGCAGTGGACGGCAGCTGCAGATGCGTGGCTACTGGTTCCACCACTCTCTCTTACCCTCCCTTAGCATCTCTCATCCCCCCCCCCTTTCTCCTACAGCAACTAGTGCTGCAGGAAAAGAGGAAGAGAGAGGGGAGGGACGGATTGCTGGAGGCTTACACCCGCCGCCCCCACATCTCCCCTTCCCCCTTCCCCCCCCCCCTCCACTACGGAAGCCGCGGAAGGGAGGCGGGGGGGTGGGGCGGCGGTAGCTGCTGCTGGCGCTGATGGTGGCGCAGGCGCTGGCGGCTGGCGGCTGCGCTGGCGTCTGCGCTGGCGGGCCGCGCTGGCGCTCGCGGCTGGCCGTGGCGCTGGCGTCCGCGCGGGGCGACGAAAGGGGGGCGCGAGGCGACGAAACGGGGGCCGCGGGCGACGGGAACGGGGGGCCGCGGGCGACGGGAACGGGGGGCCGCGGGCGACGGGAACGGGGGGCCGCGGGCGACGGGAACGGGGGGGCCGCGGGCGACGGGAACGGGGGGCCGCGGGCGACGGGAACGGGGGGGCCGCGGGCGACGGGAACGGGGGGGCCGCGGGCGACGGGAACGGGGGGCCACGGGTGACGGGAACGGGGGGAAACGAGCGTGCGGACGGGCAGGGCAGAGCGCGCGCGGACGGGCGGACGGAAAAGAAATGGCGCATTACGCGCTTTAGTATAGGCGGGCCCATTATCTTTAAGAGAAACGAGGTCCTTAGACCGTCATAGGCTCTGATAGCATGTTAAAATAGTAGCTAGTAGAGACTAGGGTTTAGGAGAGAGAGTTGGCCAAAAGAGGGCTGACATTGAGAAGTGACGAGAGAGTTATACAAGGAACAACCAAGAGGTGCACCACCTAACAGAAATGTAACACCATTATACTTGTATGCAGTTATAATAACATAACTCGGACAAAAACCAATCTGAGGCCCTGAGCCCCATACACGTGCTTCACAAATATCTGTGCACTGTTGTTGAGCGCGGTTCGCTTTGGGGGAACTTGCTGTGAACGCCATCTTATACAGTAGGGATATGCAGGCAACTTCTAGCTAACATGTTAGTAGTCAATAACTACACCGCTAAACAGAATGTATTCACTACTTGAAAACATGGCACAAAACAAACTCACAAACAAGTCAAAGATAAATTAACAAAACACAACAAATAAATGAATAGTTATGAGAAGTTTGCACCAGGCATGTCATGCCACTTATGACCTGCTTCTCAAAATGGCACTAAGCTTTAAGGTGCCATTCACCAATCTTTCTGAGCACTACCACGGCCTCGGCTTGCAGAGCACCTTCCCGACATAGAGTGAAGAACTGGTGCATGACCATCCAGGATTGTAGTAATACATGAGCGAGAAAGAGCACCGGAAGACTTTGCAGGCTACACTCGAACAAGTGTCACCACTCACGACAGTGTAGGTGCCATAGTAACAAGTTGTTGCTCCCACCACTACAGATTCCACACAGACCTGGAAACACATCAATCATACAGAGACAAGGAGGTAAGCGCAACAGCATATGCAGCAGATATGGTAGATGTTGGATTATTTCCCGGTCAGAAATGCAATGCCGACTTACATCTTGCCCCACAAGCCGCTGCGATGAGTCAGAAGAGCAGATAAGCCCCGGGTTGTACTGGTACAGCTGCGTAGCACTGATTGCAGGATAGGTATTGATCATGACGTCACTGCAGGTCTCGCCTGGGCTGACAGTGTAGTAACTGGTGCAGCTCTGCACCTGCGGAGTCCCTGTTTGTACGCAGATCTGCTGGCCTGGTGTGAGAGCGTTGCACTCCAAGTCTGGGTTGGCAACATTGAGGTACGCCTGAGTCACATTAAAGAGTGTGGCAATAGATGCACACGTGTCGCCCTGCAATTGGGAGGGAGGGAAGAGAGTGAAGCAAGGGAGGAAGATGGGTCTCATGAAACCTGAGTAACATCAGCTATTAAGATGGAGGAGCAGAGGACAGGACATAATGGCTGTGACCAGGAAGGAGGGGTTCAAAGGTACCTGAGCAATCGTGTAGGGGACCACACAGCCCAACGTAGCAGCAGAAGTGCCAGCACTGCGGATGACAATGGTTGTGCCAGCAGGGAAGTTACCAGCGCACTTGAGCTTCTGCACAAGGTGGAGCCAAGCAGAAAAAAAAAAACATGGACAAAATCAGGCGGAGGTAGAAGTGCGCAAAGCAGCAGAAGTGAAAAATTGAATAACATTCAGCTTAGAGAAACAGATCGTGCTTACCGGGTTGAGAAGCGTAAAATCCTTCTTGGAAAGCTGGTAGGTAGTGCGTACTAAGCCACAAGACATGGCAGTTGGCAGAACGACCTTGGACACAAGTGAGCCCGGCACACAAGTGGGGCTGCCGTCGGTGAGAGAACCGGAGGTGTAACCCAAGGAGCAGAGGCAGGTGTACCCGCCCTTGCTGTCGTCGACACATGTGCCGAAGCCGCATGGGTTGACCGCAAAGAACGTGCACACCTTGGCTGTTAGCGGGGGAAAGGAACATTGGAAACGGTGTATGGGAGGAATGAACAAGAGATGAGCACAGCATCGTTGGAAAAGAAAATCCATACAAGCCATAGAAACCCAACGCCTACACCCGAGTCAAGACTTGACTGTTCACTTATGCTACAACAGCACAATTTCCAACGGGCATTATTGGAAAAGTCTCATCACTGACCGAGGGCGCAGGTCTGGGTCTTGTCGAGGTTGGTGACAGCAATGAACCCAGCAGTGCACGTGCACTTGTTGCGCTGGCTCTTATTGGTCGGAGTGGACGTACAAGTACCCCCCCCGCACGGGTTGATGGGCTTGCATGGGTCAGGGGCTGCAGTCAGAAAAGGCAAGTCAGAATAATGGGAAGAGTTGGGCAACAGTCATATAAGACACGGTGACTATATAATACAAAGCGTATAAGCCGAAGAAAGGAACTGGAGAACATTCGGGCAGAAAACTAAGAAACGCATGGAGAGAATGCTCAACGCACTTGAAAGAACGGGGTAAAGGCCGGGCATCGTGTTCATCCCGCAGATCCCCGCGCCGCCTGCAATCGCAATCCTCATGTAGCCGTTCTCGCCCCACGAAGGACCCCACGAGTTGCGGACGATCCAGTACGGCACCGCATCCATCATGTTGAACCCCACGACCACCACCAAGTGGTCAACAATCCCTGAGCCGTAACAGCCAGGATCTTTGTACACAAACCCGCCAGTGTACGCCTTGAAAGAGTCTGAGCGTGCATCAATGTAAACCACAACAGGCTGCCTTTGAACGGCGAGGGCGATTCCAAGCCACCCGGTCACGCCGATGCTTTCAAACATGGAGATGGAATAGGGAGCGGATGGCATTGTGGCAGGAACCGAGGACGCGCCAGCGGGCTTGTAGATAGCGAGCATGCGGGAGTGGTGGGCGGGGACAGTGTTAGCGGTGTCAGTGGTGGTAGAGGCGGCATCATCAGTGGAAAGGAGGCGGCGGACGCGGAAGCGAGCAGAGATCTGCAGACAGGCCAAGAACGGAAAGCGTGAGCTCAAGGAGACATAACATTGAGGGGGGAAATTGTCCTCAAAATGCATACGAGTCTAGCAGAGTGAGCTTAAGTAATGCGGCAAGCTTACAAATGCACGACCTGGAAGTATGCCCAAACACACACTTCCACAGAAGAGGGGGGGTATTCACCTGATCATTCACCTTGCACGTGCCGTAGTTGAGAATGCCCGTGTAAGGATAGCTATCAGAGGCGGGCAGTCCGCCGCTGGCCGCAACGTAGTTAAAGGCATCGTCAGGCTTGCCTCCGTCGCACGACCACGTGCCCTGGCAGTCAATCGCCTTCTGCTCAGATATGTTGGGCGGGGAGAGGTTGTAGGTGATGGCGTAGGCTGCTTCAATCGCAGCCACGGGGGCGAAGATCCAACATGCAGCTGAGAAAGGGAAGGGAAACAAAGGGTGTAGGGAAAAGGATTGAGAGAAATAATGGCTTCATAAGCTTATCTTATCCAAAAAGACGACGACGGGTGGGGTTGCGAACAGGCTAGACAGAAAAGATGTCACTCTAGTAGGAGAGGAAGCTGCCGCATGACTTACAGCAAGCGCCTTGGTTCTTCGCGGCGAGAAGGGCAGACGGGATGCGGGACGTCCAGTCAACGGTCGGGGGAATGGTCCACTGCGGGCTCGCCACGGTTCCGGTGAATCCAACTGTCATGTGGCGGAAGTACTGGTTGTAATACGACCCGCTGATCAGTGCTGCGCCATCCAATTTCGCACCGCGGGAGTCCCGCTTCCGCATGGTGTCATCGCTTGGTGGCGGCGGTGGAGGGGTGACGGGGCTTTGGAATGGCGAGCACGAAGGGTATGTAACAGTATAACCACCCACGTTAACCGACAGCGTAACATTGTACATCCCGTCGTAACAGATGCACGCAGGGGTGAGAGACGGTTGGGAAAGAGTGCAATATCCGAGGCCGCCGCAAGCACCCGCGGGAAGAGCGGCTCCGCAAAACGCCACGCATTCAATCGATCTGCGCTGCGCGGCAACGCTGCAACCAGTCCCAGCGCTAGCGCTTCCCCCACTGCTCCCCGCAAACTTCTTCGGATCTTTCTTGTTGCTCTTGCCCTTCCCATTATTGAAATGTTCCGAAACGTTCCAATTTCCCCCCAGAAAACAATTTTCCCTCAAGCTGCTGGACTTTGACGCGCCGAACTGGGCGAGATTCGCCTGCGCGAAAGCCCCCTCAAGATTCGACGGGCAGAAATCCGCAGACTGCGCGGTGTAGCCAGCCGGAAGGCTGCTGAAAAAATTTCCGCTCAGATCGTAGGTTGCCTGAGCGGTGTTTGCGAGCGAAGCAGAGGCGAAGGAGGAGGTAGGAGTTCCGCTGAACTGGTTGTTGCTGACGTCACTGTCGGAAGCAAAACAAGAGAACGGGGAAGCAGGTAAGCCAAGAGATCAGAAGCGACAGCGGGATATTCAATCGGTATGGGAGGCTGGAAAAACAATAATCGAAGTAGGAAAATCCGAGCGCGAGCGAGCTGATGGAAATAGGTTGACGCATCTCTTCGCCCGCGTAGTACATACAAGACCTACAAGATTGAAGAGCAAGACGTACAGAAAGACGAGGCCGGTAAAAGCTCCAAGCGCGGCGGGTAGGTTGCCATAAAATTGATTGCGGCTGACGTCCCTGTCATTAAAAAAAAAAAAGACAGATAGATAATGAGCAAACAACAGCTACTAAGATAGCAACACTAGGTCAACCAATTGACATTAGAGCGCAACATGACTATTACGTCCAAACAAAAAAAGAAAGAAGAAAACAGAATATTCTTACAATGCGACGAGGGATTGCAGGCCGACGATACTCTCCGGAAGAAAACCGGAGAACTGATTGTCTCCCACAAGCCTGAACAGGAGCCACATGCATCCAAATTTAACAGAGCAAAAAGAAAGGCATAAAAACGGAACTGAGCACGATAATAGTGTTCTTGATCAGAAAAGAAGGTACAGAATCAGCTGATACAAAAAAAAACACCTACACAATATAACAAGGTTAGCAAGCGACTGAGAGAAAAGAGCGAACGCGAGTATATTACAGGAACTGGAGTTGGGAAAGGCTGAGGAGAGCAGGTGGAAAGACTCCAGTGAAGCCATTGGACCCGAGGGCTCTGAATCGGACAAACAATAAACCAAATATGCATAGCGAGCTTGGTGAGCACCGGAAGAAATGAGAGTAAGAATAAAAGAATATAGGAACCGTTGAGTGAAATGAATTTCAGAAACAACAGACGAGAAAAAAACAGAATCCGCGAAGGACGACGTACAGGATGGTGAGAGCAGTGAGCCCACTGAAGACGTTAGGAATGTCTCCGGTCAAGCGGTTTGAACTTACATCCCTGAACAAAACAAATACAAAAGTTGTTAGACGAAACCGAAGTTGGTGGAATGAAGAGCTAAGAGTGTTGGCTACACGAGTACATGTTGCGGAATGCTTACAGTGAACGCAGATTAACCAGACTGGCTATGCTGATTGGAAGCCCACCAGTCAAGGCGTTTCCGCTAAGCGACCTGATGAGAGGAAAAAGGAATAACAAGAAAGCTTAGCTAAAGCCGACATCAGTTGCACATAAATAGTGCAGACCATGAAGAGGTGTCAGCGGCATGGACACATAATGCGTGAGAGAGAATGGAACTGCAGGAGCGGAAGGCAAGGTGAGGAACATAAAAAAGAAAAAAGAAAAAGAAACGAAAGCAAGGTGAGGAACGAAAGCAAGAATATTGCCGCAAGAGTCCAGGGAAGATGAGGGAACGGCTACGTAATCGCAGTGACAGGTGGCAAATGAAGAAATCTGATGCTTACAGATTCGTCAGCGCAGTTAAGAATCCGATGTCAGCAGGGATTTCGCCAACGAGCAGGGTGTGGTCCAGGGACCTGCGCCACGTCAGCGGATAAGAAAAGATAGGAAAGTGAGGAGTGGAACAAGGCAGGCGACCGGAGAAGACAGGCAAGCACCCAGAAACGGACCGTAAAGACGAAAAAAAAAAAAAAACGGAAATTCCCCTCCCTCCTGGTTTTCCCACCTCCCTTCATCCGCTTCCCCTTCCCTACTTTCCCTTCCCCACGCCTGCCCCCATCTTCTACTCAACCCAACAAAAAATTCGCGGGCACTTTCTGCCCTCCTTCCGAATCGCGCATACAATTTCTGAAGGGCCGTGAGCTGCGTCACGGCGGCCGGAATCGAAGCTCCTCGGAGCTCAGTTCGTCCCGGGAACTCTCTGGAGGGAACCAGAAAACATTCGCACGACGAGAGTAGACAGAGCAAGCAAGTCAGGTGAAGAAGCGTGGAGAAATACGAGGTGCAAAATACCGGTTATGAGGCACAGAAACTAAACGAGATGTACAATGAAACGAGACAACGTACAGAGAAATGACCTCGCCAAGCGAGTTGCAAGTGAGACCGAGCCATTGCGAACAGTCTGATGCGACGAACCACGTCTGGCTCAGCTGCAGGGACTGACCCCATGCGTTCAAGATAACTTGAAGAGCAGGTTCTGCAAACACGCACAGCAATGCGTATCGAAGAGTCTTAGGAGAGACGTATTGCCGAGCCATGAGATCCTAGATATAAATGCCGTGATGAAGCCCTCTGAAGTGAACGGCGTCAGCGTGCTTACTCTGAGAGTCTGCGACCGCCTGTGCTTTGACGGGAGGCGAGAACACCACGAGGAAGCTAAGCGCGAGAACCAAAGCCTTTAAAATGTCGGGATGAAACGAACGTTTTCTCTGAAACAGCCTCATTGCGCTCCTATGGAAAACTCAATATGCTGGTTGCTCGAACACTTCACCCCGCTTCCTGATAAAACCGAAGGAAGGGTAGAATAGGTAGAAATGGCTCGGGAGCTAAGAATAGACCGAAAAGGCGATTCCACGCAAAGAGACGTTTCACAGATCTGCTAAAACCATTGCAGTCCAACCAACACCGAGCAATGGGAGTGATGAAACTAAATGTGAGTGTCAACCGGAACCACCAGACCTAGACGACACGGTGACTCACCAGGATAGCTACGATAAGTAACACAACAGAAAGCTGACGTTTCGGAGAGTAAGCGCTGCGCCCTGATAAGTCACCGTACGTTCTAGACTAGGGTTCCTCAGCAATCAGAATCAACATTAGGGTACGCGCTCAAGCCAAGGGCATTGGAGAACGAGGAAGGAGAAGTGGGAAAACCATGTTGGTCGCCTACTGTGGCTGCTGCCTTTGGCAAGGTGACTGCCATCCGACACAAATTGAGGCCCGAGAGGGCAGATCAGCTCCACTGTTACATTGGACAGACGACATGGAAGCAGAAGTGGGAGAGACGAAGGGCTCCCCCGAGGACGAACAGTTGCACAGTTGCATGATTTTTCCTTCACGGAAAGCCGTGCAGACATCAGGGTGATAATGAAACTCTGTGGCTGGGAGCAGATTCGTGTACAGAACACGGAACGACTGAAAATGTGGGGCGATCACTCACAAAAACGACGGTTACGGCTCAGAATAATGACAAATAGTGCTTCTTATAGTAGGCCTTCTCAAAAGAAGAAGCGTGGCAAACTGCCACTTCAGGGCAGGAAGTTTCAAAATGAATATAGAATCGCTTGTTCAGAGAGAAGGCGGTTGGTGCGCGGAACTTGAATGGGCAAGGGTTTGGTCACGATTCACGTCAGGTGTTTCAGGTTGTGGGAACAAATGTGGAGGCTAGGGTTTGCTCGTCTCACTGCTTGCTTTGGGCTGGTCGCTTGCTCGTGCTGATAAGGACTAAATTCAGCAGCAGAAGGCGGTCGTTGGTTCTAGGCAGAGGGAACGCGTTTCGACCAATCAGCGTCCTCGAAACCAAGTCTGTCCGTGACAAACCCACAGACCCAGACAGAGACATTTTCCACCACCACGCCCAACTCACTCTACACACAACGGAACATTGTGGGGAGGGGAGGAGCAAACAAACCGACTTCGTCTTGCCATTTGATCAGAACCGTAACCTCGTGTCGACTCACGAACGCAATTGGTAGTGACACATGAAACTTGTCACTGACGGTTCAGGGGAACGATCAGGAAGGGACGAGTCACTGGATGGAAAGACAACGAAAATGTCTTCTAGAACAAAAAGGCAAATGGGAGTGTGGGGTGGGGTCGCAAAAGGGGGCACGTGATGATAGAACAGACAAACTCCGCAACAAAACTTGAGGGGGTGGAAAGTGTTGGCATGATATGGTGGGTCTTCTTATGTGGCATTTGTAACACGCTCATCCACACACTTCCAGTTTTCCAAGGCCCATTCTGACACGGAAAACATGCTGGCTTGCAGATTCCAGACGATATCCACGGCAGTGGGCAGGTTATCATAGATTTTTCGGTTGTGGTCAGCTGGCACACAATCCGCCAATCCTGCCCTCTGCACGGGGCGCAGGTTGGTGAGCTTGTCCACTAGCCTTCATCAAAACGCAATAGTACAGCTATTTCGGCTACAAAAAAAAAACATTAAAAAAACTCCGTTAATACAGGTAGGAAGTCAGAGCTGCTACTCTAAATAAAACATCTAGCACAGATAAACATCAAGGTGATGGTGCTATTCTAAACCTCAAACTCGCAGGCAATCATGAAATCCCTAAACTTCAATTTGTAACTGCTGCAGCAGTGATATGATATTGAAGATCACCTGATAATGCCTCTCTTGTTCAATCTCAGTCCTGCAATATACGCTGCTCTAAGCCCACCTCCCCCCTCTCTTTTAATGCATATCCAACACCTGTTCCAAAGACACAGGCACCCATGAATGCTTGTCATCCTGTGCCATCAGCAGCTGCTTCAGCGGATCTATCACCAGGCTGATCGTGCCAAACGAAAACACCGGCATGCCTTCATGCGTGCAGTGCAGCCCTCCTGGTTCCAAGTAACTGCTGCGTCAACAGTACATACACCAAACGTGGCACTGGCCAAACAACGCAGCTTTATTCCATGTTCTGCGCCCTAAGCCCACCTCCCCCCCTTCTTCCTATGCATGTCCAATACCTGTTCCAACGACACAGGCACCCACACGTGCTTGTCATCTTGCGCCATCAGCAGCTGCTTCAGCGGATCTATCACCAGGCTGATCGTGCCAAACGAAAACACCGGCATGCCTTCATGTGTGCGCCCTGGTTTCGGCAGGAATTTCACGTCGTTCTGCAGCGCGAATCGCTCCACCACCTCCCGTAGAGACAGCTCCTTCTCTTCCTCCTCATGTAACATCCCCGTCCTCCCTCCTCCTGCCCCTCTCCCTCTCGTTACACTGGTACCACTGGCTAATCCAGCACCACCCATCCCACCACCCCCACCACCAACCCCACCTGCTGCAATACCACCTCCCCCAGCAGCAGCACCACCTGCACCAGGTACACCTCCCCCTGCCCCCGCCCCAACCCCATCGGCAAATGCCTGCTGCTCCGAAACTCTTAAGTAAGAGACGTTCTCCTTCACGCCGGGTTGCAAAACCGGCATCCCCTCTACAGCCTGATTCATCATATCTAAAGCGACATTCAATTGCTGCCGCACCCTTTCCGAGCTCAAAAGCTCAGCAGGAAAAAGCGCCTTCCAACCCAGATACCATCTGGTGACCTCATCGAAATTAGGGTTTGCGCACAGCCAATGGTAGAGCACCTGGTGCCACTGCGGGAAGAATGCCGTGTCCAGCAAGGCGATGAGGTGGCGCGTGGGGACCACACCGGCCCACGACATGGCCCAATGAAACGGCTCCAGCTGCTGCTGCTGCGGATTCACTAAGAACTCAGTCTGCAGTAAGTGTATAAGCTTCGGGACGATGGATCGACTCACTAGAGTGTCCCAGCTTGCAGCGTCAAACACAGATTTCCACGGCGCCAGCATTGCAAGAGCGGACGAATCGGATGGGTGCCATGCGGTGAGGGCAGATCCGAGCCTGAAGCGTATGGTTGGGTAGAGGGTCTCGAGCTGGGACCCTAGGTACGGCAGCCACGGGTGCAGCCACTGGTGGACAGGTACGGTTTCCAGCCTCGGGTCCCAAGCCTCCACCGTGGCTGCCAGCTTCGGGAACACCAGGTGGGCCAGGATCGTTCTCAGGAGGACAGATGGCAGCACGGGAGCGCGCCACGTGTCAAGAAAGTTCAGGAGAGGCTCGGGTTCCCGAGGCTCCCAGAGATTGACCACTGCGGATCTGACAGCTGGCAGCACGAGATCCGCGACTAGGCGAGCGTATGGGTCCATCTCAGCGGGTGCCCCTCCCACCCCTCCTGCTGCTGCTCCCGGATCTGCCACCGAATCAGCCAGTGCCACGTCAGCAAAAATCGCCCCATTGTCCTCCTCACTCTCGCCTCCTCCTCCCTTCGCTCCTCCTCTTCCTCCTATGTCTCGTGCTAACACGGAGCGCCAGGAGGATAGCACAGCGTGGCCGTGCGACGGGTGAGCAAGGGGGTTCCAGGTGCGGAAAAGCGGAGCGAGACGGGGGAGCACAAACCCTAACGCCACCGCCGAGACGTTATACATCTTGAACTCCTCGGGATGCTGCTCCCTCAGCCTCCGCAGCGCGGCCAATGGCGTCGCGACAGATGTCGCAATCGCGTGCGAGTCCTGCGCGAGGGCTTCAGCACTTGCCGTCGACGGGGGCGGCAGCGGGGGAGGGGCAGACGATAAAACATTCTCCAGCACGCCGACGATCCTTTGGAGGTCTGTCAGCTGCTGCGCCTGCTGCTGCATGCGCTGCTGCGTGCGGTCGCGCTCGTGCTTGAGAGCGGTGAGCGAGTCTCGTTGGAACCTTAGGCGCTTGTCGATGGTTTGAATGTCTGCCTCTGCTAGGTCGACCACGAGTCGCAGGTTGTGCTGCAGCTCGGGCATCGGCGTGTCGTCCTCCTGAAGCTTCTGCTCCTCGTTCAACCGGTCCATGTTCGTCAACACGCGGACCTGCGGGAACAGAGAGAGGGGAGAGCATAACAGACACGAGGGTAAGGTTGCGCTGCATCCCAGGCATGAGTGTGTCAGCCTCTTAAAGCTTCTGCTCCTCGTTTGACCGGTCCAAGTTCGTCAACACACGGACCTGCGGGGACAGTGAGGGTGAAGAGCATAACAGACACGAGGGTAAGGTTGTGCTGCAGCTCAGGCATGAGTGTGTCAGCCTCTTAAAGCTTCTGCTCCTCGTTTGACCGGTCCAAGTTCGTCAACACACGGACCTGCGGGGACAGTGAGGGTGAAGAGCATAACAGACACGAGGGTAAGGTTGTGCTGCAGCTCAGGCATGAGTGTGTCAGCCTCTTAAAGCTTCTGCTCCTCGTTTGACCGGTCCAAGTTCGTCTAACACACGGACCTGCGGGGACAGTGAGGGTGAAGAGCATAACAGACACGAGGGTAAGGTTGTGCTGCAGCTCAGGCATGCGTGTGTCAGTCTCTTAAAGCTTCTGCTCCTCGTTTGACCAGTCTATGTTCGTCTAACACACGGACCTGCGGGGACAGTGAGGGTGAAGAGCATAACAGACACGAGGGTAAGGTTGTGCTGCAGCTCAGGCATGCGTGTGTCAGTCTCTTAAAGCTTCTGCTCCTCGTTTGACCAGTCTATGTTCGTCTAACACACGGACCTGCGGGGACAGTGAGGGTGAAGAGCATAACAGACACGAGGGTAAGGTTGTGCTGCAGCTCAGGCATGCGTGTGTCAGTCTCTTAAAGCTTCTGGTCCTCGTTTGACCAGTCTATGTTCGTCTAACACACGGACCTGCGGGGACAGTGAGGGTGAAGAGCATAACAGACACGAGGGTAAGGTTGTGCTGCAGCCCAGGCATCGATTTGTCATCCTCCTGCAATTTCTGCTCCTCGTTTAGCCGGTCCAAATTCGTCAACACGCGGACCTGCGCAGGCACGGATCAGGGGAGGCATGGCTCGAAGAAAACACGGATCAGGAAGTGCAGGAAAGAGAGGAGAGTGAAAGAGGGGTTTCCTCTTGTTGCTTCTGCCAGGTCCACCATGATTCGCAGGTTGCGCTGCAGCTCCGGCATCGGTGCGCCGTCTCCCCGTAACTTCTGCTCCTAAGGTGACTTTTGAGTCGACTCAAAAGTCACCTCAGGTTGCGCTGCAGCTCTTGCATTGCTGTGCCGTCTCCTTGTAACTTCTGCTCCTCGATTGGACGGTCCAGATTTGTCAACACGAAATTGGGGAAACAGGGAAACAGGGAAACAGGAAATTAGTCCGTCAATCCAGCCAACCCGTCAGCCAGCCAACCACTCAACCAGCAAGCTACCATTTGCAACATCAACAACACACCTGAGCTCCACGCATGTCCAGGATCGTCTGAGTCACCTCCCGCCCCTCCGCCTGCTTCTCTTCCAGCAATTCCGCAGCAGTTTTATACTCCTTCCTCCTCCCCGCGAATTTCTTCTTCCATAGCTTCTCCCGCCCCCTCTTTTCCACTACCTCCACCGCCACTCCCCCCTCCCCTTCCGCTCCCACCACCTCCCCGTCTTTCCCGGACGGCGGGGGTGGTAACCCGACTTCTTTCTCCTTGAAGTCGTTAAAGCCCATGCCCATGTTCTTCGGCCGCAGCTTCGCTTCTATCGGCTTCGCTATACCCTGCTGGTTTTTACCCAGCCCGCCGCCCTTGTACCCCATCTTCTCTAAAAGCTTCATCCCTATTCCTTTAGTGTGCTTCTCGAACGCTCCCACGCCGTGAGCAGCACCCTTCCCTCCCCCTCCTCCACCACCAGAACCAAACAGACCGCCTGCAACCCCTCTAGTCGCCTTCTGCTGCGCGAAAAACGACGCCTCCTGCTTCTCCTGCTTCGCTCGCTCCCTCTCCATCTCCCTCCTCTGCTCCGCTCGCTCCCTTAGCCGCTGACCGAAAGCCGTCTTCGCTAAGTGATCCTCTTCCTCCTCCTCCTCCTCCTCCTCCTTGCGCCTCCCCCCTGGCTCCCAAACCTGGCCGGTCAGGCTCGGAACCCCCGGACGTGAATCCCAAGCCTGCTCCGCCGAACCCGAGGCCGGTCCGACCCAATCCGCTCCGATCCTCATCTTCTACAGGCTCCTGCGGCTTGCTTCCCAATCCGGGCCTTTCCTCTACAGCATCCCGATCCAGGTTCGGATTCACTGTACCTTTTGATACAAAACTAACGGGTTTCGTAAAATCGCCTTTTCCCATCAGATCGTCTTTTCCGCGACGCTTCTTCCTCCGTCTCTTACCCCCACCGCCGAATCCTTCATCGTCGTCATCCTCGTCATCAGATGCTTCGTTAAAGACACCGTACAGGACGTCGTCGCGGGTCTGCTGACGGCCCTGACGGCGCGACGAGGAGAAGAACTCTCCGTTAATGAACTGGCCGTCGTCGAAATCTCCGTCCAGGCTGAACCGCATCCGCTGCTCTCCGTCACCGTCAACGTCCATGATCGAACGCCTTGGAACAAAAGAGCCTAGAAACCGCAAAAGATACCTTTGATTCAATAAGCTCCAAACAGCTAAACATTATCTTTCTTAGGGCAAAGGAGCAACGGACTCCTGGCTAGGCAATCCGCGCACACAGAAAGAAAGCTTATCTTCTATCCTATGGTGGTCAGACAAGATGTTGGGGATGGGATGATGATGGGAGGTGAAGCAGAACTTCACCTGCAAGCGGTTCCGTAAGGTTCTTTACATTCTACGATGGTGAACTAACATCAAAGAACGGTTCCAAAAGTTCGACAGCAAGAGAATATGCCCTTGGGATGTTCGGTTTGCTGTCTTCGTTGCAATGGAGTCGGCACAGCATAGCATAGTCTTTCTTAGTGTAGTGGTAGAGGTTTTACCATGTTCTAATTTCTTAGTTGTGGAAACTTATAAAAAGTGTTATGGCAGATAGAGATGGTACAGAGCAGAGGTAATAAATCAAGCTTACTTAAAGTATTTAGATACTATTATTTACTATTATTCATATTCTATAATATACATTACATGTATTCTATAATTTGTTTTAGTATATATACAGTAGATTCTTCTTCGTACGCCTCACCCTCCTCGTCTTCTTCATTCCCATCCCCTTTCAGTTTGTATTCTTCATCCGCTTGACACTTCCTCGTCTCGTCACCCTCTTCATCCCCGTTACTCTTGCCTTCTTCGGCGTTTTCGTTCCCTTCTCCATCCTCACCAACCCCTTCATCAACTTCTTCTCCTTAAGCTCCTAGTTGGCCATCCTCATCTCCACCCTCCTATAAAAGCTTTCTCGTCGTCGTCATCCTCTTCATCCTCACTTGCCATCCCCGCCATCAAATCTAAGCACGCGTCATACTCTCCATTTTTCTCCTCGTCCGTCCACTCATCCTCCTCATCCTCTTCCTCATCCTCCCTCTTCTTAATAGCCCCACCTCTGCAAATTCTCTTGGAAATCTCCTTTGAAAGCAGAGGGCATCCACGGATCGAACACTTGCGCAGCATGGGCATTTTCCGGGAAGGCTCCGGCACCCAAACCAGTTTCTCACAGTAGCTCACATCCAACTTCTTCAGCTGGGGCAGCTTCAGAAAGGTTCTGGGCAGGCTGGAAAGATTAAACAGCCCCAAAAGAACCAAAGTCTGGAGAGACGAGAGCTTGTGGATATTATCGGGCAGGGATGAAATTCCCAGGTTGGCCAATGCACAGTGCTGCAGCCTTGACAAATTGGAGAACGAAGCTGGAAGATTGACCAGCCTGAAACACCTGATTAATCTCAATGTCTCCAGTTGCTCCAGCTGCCCGAGCGACTTGGGCAGGGCAGAAAAATCATCGAGCTCCGCCAATTCGAGGACTCGCAAGCGGGAAAGCGATCCAATGTTTTCTGGCAGCGCTTTCAGCCTCCTGCAGCGGAAGATTCGGAGCACTTGCAGATTCAAGAGACCGGATATGGAGTCGGGGAGCGAGGCCAGTTTCTCCATGAACAGAATTTCCAGGCTTGTCAGCAACGTGAGGAGACCGAGAGACGGTCCTAAGGATTTGAATCGGAAACCCTTAGCAGCTAAACTCTGCAGGGATGGAAGCGGCACTCCGCTTGCATTCCCCATAAGACTGTTGCTGCTGCTGACGTTCGCAACCCTGCGGCTGCTGCTCGCCCGAGCGGTGCTGCTGCTTGCCATAGCGGTGCTGCTGCTGCTGCGGCTATCCTCATCCCCTAGCAAAGTGCAAGCTTTGAAACACATCCGCACGTCTAGCACCTGCAATCGCGGCAGCTCAACCAGCGACCCAGGGATGCAATCCAAGCGCTGCAGCTTCAAAAGCTTGAGCTCCTGGAGCGATCCCAGCCGTCCAATATCCTCAGGCAGAGATTCTACCTCCGGGCAGTTTATCAGCACCAGGCTGGTGAGAGAGAGAAGGCCGGAGACAGAGGCAGGAAGGCCAGACAGATGGCGCATGTCACGTAGGAATAACTTCTCCAGCTTTCCCAAGCTGCCCAACCCCTCGGGCAGTTTGCCTGTGAAACGCCTTGCTCGCATGATGCTCAGGGATTTGAGGGAAGACAGGTTGGAGATTGAAGGAGGGAGGCCAGTGAGAGATCTGCAGTAAAGAATATCTAACTCGCGCAGATTCGGCAGCCCGTTTCCCACGCTGCTTGGTAGTGAGGTGAGCCGCCAGCAATCTAACAGAATCAGGTGCTCAAGGGATACTAACGCGGATAAGGATTCGGGCAGCTGCTGCAGCTGGTAACACACCATGAATCTTAAGTATCGAAGATTTGTCAAGTTCCCGAAGGATTCAGGCAGGTGTGTGAGCTGCGGAAGGGCATCCAGGTGGAGTGTCTCTAGAGCGGCCAGCTGCCCGAATTCCTCGGGCAGAGAAGTCAAATTAACGAGACCGTTGAGGGAAAGCTTTTGGAGCGAAGTGGCTAGGGAGATGGAATCAGGAAGGCTGGTAACGTTCTTAACGTCAGTCAGCGCGAGCGTCTGAAGCTTTGATATCTGACCGATTTCGGCGGGCAGCTCGGAAAGTTCTGGAAGGGATAGGTCGAGATCCGTGAGTGAAGGAAGACGGATGAGATCCCGAGGCAGAGACGAAATGGTAAGGCAGTTGATCATAGTAAAACGCTTTAACCGCTGTAGCTGCCCGAGAGACTCGGTCAGGTCGGGCGTTTTGAATATATCCTGCAGGTGAAGAGTTTCCAGCGCGTGAAGGTGCACGAGATTCGCGGGTAGCTTTTGAACGATTACAGACTTTCGAATCTCCAGGAACTCCAGGGATGAAAGGTTGGAAAGAGAATCGGGCAGCCGAAGCAACCAAAAGCCGATGAAGGAAAGACGGTGTAAATTCGCAAGTTTCTCAATCGATTCCGGGATTGGCACCATCGACGCGCAGTCTTCGAGAACCAGCGACTCCAGAAGAGTCAGATTTTCGAGATTCTGCGGAAAATCTTCCAGCTTGGCCAAGCGAAGCACCAGGTGTCGGAGTGATTGTAACGAGGTGAACGTATCGGGCAGAATCTCGACCCCTTCGGCCTGGAGATGAAAATTCGTGAGAGAAGCGAGATGGTCGATGGAAGGAGGAATGGCGGTGAGATGATCCGGGCAGTGCAGATGAAGGTCTTGCAGACGAGTGCAGTTGGTGAAAAGGCGGGAAAGTCCGTCCTCCGTAAAAACTCCGCTGCTGTCGGATTGACCGAACGAGTCTGGCTTGTGAAAAGCGACGCGAAAATCGGTGAGATTGTGACACGTGTCGGAGAGGCAGCAGAGAAGATCATCGGAGACGGCTTTCAGGCTGCCAGCGGAGAGGTCGATCTTTTTGAGATTGACGAACCGTGAAAGCTGAGGAAGTAGCTGACGCGTATCCAGGAAGCGGTCCGCGCTCAAGCAGATGCTGTCTTGTACGCGATACGCGATGTCGTGCCACTGCTGGCAGACGCTAGCGTGGCTCAACTGACCGTCGGATCTAGAGAGCAGTGAGATTATTCTCGACAGTAGGTCGTCTGAAAGCCGTTGGATTGGCGGTCCCACCGGCATACTGAGCAGTAGAAGGTGGAAAAGACACAATTGGCTCTTGCTAAATCTGGTTTCTAGAAGGTAAAGCTCTCACGGGTATGGCTCTCACAGAAGAGGGGAGAACACAGGTGGCTGTTGGCGGCAGTGACTGCTAAACGTTGACAAGAAAAACCTCAATATGGCTGATTTAGAGAGAAGCCTTCGATCCTAAACCCAAATGACACACAGACAATCCAAGAGCTATCGGAAGAAGAGCTATTTGAGGATTTGTTGATGCTGTACCCAATGTCAGCCCTGCCTGACTCAACAACAATCGTCTCGTTGAGCCGTGCGAAGCATACATGCTCTGCATGAAGAGACTGGTTATTGGAAAGTTTGAAATATATCCGACACTTTGAATTGCAGAGAGTGCTACTGAACCGTAGTGAATCGTACTGGGCCGCAAATTCAGGCGTCAGTTGCTGCATGACTGTTTCGTGGTGGCGGCAATTTTCGAGGGTTGTCCGTGCGAGTCGCGGCCAACAACCGCCAGCTCACGTCGCGTAAATCTCCGGGCGACGACATTCGTTCAAGTTGAACGACAGTCGCCAGCTTCGCTTTATGTCGCAGACGTGGTTTCCCGTTCTGCTACGACCCACTGTGGGGATTGCACACAAATTTGAAAGCACGAATCCCTCAGTAACATGTCTTTCGCGAAGGCTCCGGAAGTTTGTGTCTTCACCCCCTCAACCAAACCCACCTGCCTGTTCCGAGGCGAAAGAGTCGTCCGTCGTTCATGCGACGCTTACCAGTTGTCGAGCATTTGCGACATATCCCCAGATCCTTCATCCAATGAGAACGAGTGATTTTACTTGCTTGGCTGTCGCCGATTTGGCATCCAATGAAACAACAGCTCTGCGCTGGCTTCGCAAATAACGGTTCGGTAAGATAATTCACGTTTCACAGCGTTCGAACGACTCACCGCGCACCGAACACGAAAGCGCTGAACTCGGGGGGGACGTTCTTTCCCTATTCCCTCCCCATACCACCACACCAGAACGCGGAAAGCCAGTTTCTTCAGCTGCTTTCCTTGCTTTATGTGACTCTTCGTGCTCTAGAAATTCTTGGTCACAGCCGCTCACAGGTAGGACGAGGATTAGACTTCGTTGTTTGCTCTAACAGTCACCGTGGTTTAGCCTGAGATTCTTTCCCTAGCAACGTTCACAGGCCTGTGAAGCACGTTAGAACCGTTGACCCTGCGGTTGTCCTGGTGTGACTGAAGCTGGTTAGGTGACAACAGTTGATTGGAGATTTCAATTCATTCCGAAACGCTCTCTTCGTATTCAGTTGCTGCGAAACATACACCTACGTTCATTGTCGTCATGGTCCGAAGTGGGGGCTCGTTTGGCGATATTGAGTCGGGAGCTGGCGGGGCCTTGAGGTCTACCGCGTATGCGTCCGAGCAAAGCAACGAGGAAGCGTTGAGTCAATTGGAGGAGAGGGCTAGACTAATCAAAGAGGTACGAGAATATTTATGCATACGTTAGACATTCACAACCTAATATGGATAAAGTGGAATTGGTATAAGGCTGTAAGATTTCTCCGCTGGGAGTGAGCCAGGGACTTGCATATGGTTACGCTGACGTATGTCACGATGGGATTTGGTTCGCTATGGGAGGCGGGAGGCTGCATTTGCTGACTATTTTTCTGAGTGAGAATGAGGAAGTGATTGGACGTTTTAGTCTCAACCACGTGAAAAACCGAAAGCGAGAACGAGGAGAGACTCTTTTCACGCGATAACACTTTATTTTTCTTTCCTCCCAACCGTTCCATCTGCTCTCAACTATTTGTCCTTGTGCCAGTTAACCAAAGACATACATGGCGAGGTTCAATCACAAAATCGTTTTCTGGATGGCATGGTGAGTAGTTAGCAACTGTGATATTGGGTCACTACTGTTGACGCATATATACTGTGCTGCTGAATCCCACTGCCGTGCTTTCTGGAGTTTTGATATTGATTTCAGTGCTTTATTTTGGAAACCTGTTTCACTGGTCTGCGTTTCTTCAGGGACTCGAAATGGACTCTGCTCGAAGAATGCTTGCTGGAACAGTGGATCGCTTTACGAAAGTAAGCTGATTCACCTCTCTCCCTTCCCTGCACCTTCTTCATCTGATACTTCTTTCACAGCCCTTCCTATTCTGCCTCCAGCCTTCCTGTATTAACGTCTCAGGTCGCCCGCACCGCAGCTTTTCTCATCTTTTGACACTCTTTTATTTGCAGGTGTTCAGTTCCAAGCAGAATCGGGGCTTGGCAGCCGTTGTTGTGTCGTGTGTAACACTCTTCTTCATCCTATACTTCTTTACAAAGCAATGAGAAAACACTGCCATGTCTACGCTTTTGTTGTGTCGTGCGTTCGGTTTAGTTTTGGTGGGTTATTGTACGTAGATGTGAAGATATCATTGTCTCATAATTACATAATCAAATCATGTCATGGTAGAAGACAAAAGCAGGAATATGTAATGTTATGTAATGTTACCTGTGTTTCGAGGCTATGATCCTTGAGAATACGTCGGAACCGCATGAAACCCCCGCTCGTTCTCCACTCTACCCTCCCCAGCTGACCTAATCGATATGCGGCTGATGAGGTCGTTTGCGCTTTAAAGCGGTAATAAAAGATTGCAACTGGTTGGGTAGGCTTTTGAATGATCGAGAACTTCTGGAGAACCTCCTCACTCACCAACCTCCCCTGATCCGGAAGAGCCTGATCAGAAAATGAGCACGTTCTAGACCAAGATATCTCCTCCATTTCAATACTCCAGTGGGGTTATCACCGCGTTCTAGTCCTAGGTTCGATCTTGAACTTCATTCAGCGCTCTTAAACCGCAGTGCTATTTTGCTATCCTTCGGCAGATTTTTTCCGGTGGTCGACACATAAGCGTCGTGGCTTGGTTTCCACCGCGCATTTGCAGCTTAGTGCAGCTAATCACTCCTCTTACTTCCTCGAATTCAGCCGGCCGTCATGGTTGCGCCCTTAAGACGCTTCCTTGGTTTTATTCTCGCTGCCTTGGTCGCCATTGCGTGCTGCCAGCGGGGTTGTCTGGCGGTCAAATTCGAGGTCACGGCCTACTCGAAATGTTTAGGGGAGGAGATTCAGGAGGGAACCCTCGTTGTAGGAACGTATTCAATCGTAAAGCACGACTCTCATGGGAACCGGCTGGATGAAACCGGCAGGGTCACAGCTAAGGTACGTATCGGCTTGTTCGGCTGGTAAAATAGTGCTGTTTAGTACTGTCCCAAAGACGTCCAGGTGGATCAGTATTATCCGTTTCCAGTGCCAAAGGTCGGATCGTAGATCGCGTCGTTCAATGCGGTCTTGCTTTTTGTTTGTTTGTTTGTTTGTTTGTTTGTTTGTTTGTTTGTTTTTGTACATGTTGCTCAGTGCAACTCCCAGTATCTTGACAATTGCTCTGTTGTTTTCCCATTGCTAGAATCCGCTGCCTATCGCGACTCTGCGTTTCCTCTTTCAAAGCCATTGCGTCATTGAACTTCCTCATCGCGTTCCTCCCGCATCTCGTATATCACCTCCTTTACTTTCAAACTAAGAAATAGCCATTTAGGCATTCGTATTTCAGGCTGCTGAACTTGCTCGATGACATGGCGAGTGACGTAAGTACGGCCTTCGCATGCATTGGCACGACAGCGTGGAAGAAGGCCACTCACACCAGTAAACGTGGACCTAAACTTAATAAAAATCCGTCATTTACACCTTGCACAACCACATGGCAGGTGACGTCACCGTACGGCCATCAGTTGCACTAGCAGGACCTGTGGAAGAGGGTCATATGAAAGTAAATCTGTTTGCATACTTCTCAAAATATTTATTACCACCTTGCATGATCACATTGCAGGTGACGTCACCGTACGGGCATCAGCTGCACTGGCAGGACAGTGTGGAGGAGGGGCACTTCGGATTCACAACCAAAGAGACGGGGCAGTACATGGCGTGCTTCTGGCTACCCGTGGACCATCCGCAAGAGATCCACAGTGTCATGGTGAGTGGGCTAGCTGGGAATATAGGCTGGCTAGACAAGGGGATGAATGATGGCTTGTGTGCACTCCACCTGGCCGTGCCTACCAGGACATTGATACCACTATGAAGCAAATTTTAATTGGCATCTCAAATCTTACACCATTGTTCCTTGAATTCCTTTGCACATCAGTTTGCCACTAACACTTGATTCCACGTGCTTATCAAAGCATTCGTTCTGCTCCAACGTTCTGTGTGGTGATATGCATGGTGGTTATACAGGTTGAGCTCGAATGGAAGATTGGTGTAGCAGCTAAGGATTGGGGCAAAATCGCCAAGAAAGACAAACTTGATGTGAGCCAAAGTGTTTGCTGTGCTTGATTGCTGCACGTGCATCACCTTTGAGTTGTCAAACACATGGGAAGATATTTCTACCATGAACCTTGATATCCCCCCCTCCCCCTTGACTCCACCCGTAATGACCACTATGCCTGTACTGCAACATGTTGTTGAAGGTCATCGCCACCCTGAATTTGTGCAACCTGGATGAGCCAGCAAGGTCCACTCGGGATCGCTCTATAACATTCAGTGTGCTTGCTAATCACTCACCTAGGTATTGCTTCCCCCTCCCTTCCCCCCCCCCTCCCCTCTCTCCCCCCCCTCCCTCCCCCCCTTCCCCCCTTCACCCATCACCGCTGCAACGTGTACTGGAAGGGCATTGCCTTGGAGTTGCGCAAGCTGGATGAGGCTGTGAGGTCCATTCGAGGGGAGATGGCCTACTTTCGCAAGAGGTGAGTGAACCACTTAGACAAAGGAGACAGTTACCCTTTTTCCACCCTGCAGTAGTGAGAGATGGAATACTTGCTAGATGGGGGGGACTGGGAAAGGCTAGGTATCAGGTCAGTTGAGAGGAGGTGGTTGTTTGCTGCATGGATTGGGACGGCCGAGGGGACCTTGAGAGTGTAATGCTGATTTCAAGGGTTTGCATCAATCAGGGTGGCAGCTGTTGGTTTACACAATAGCAGCAGCAGACTATCAATCAATCTGTTCTTTCTTCCCAACGTGTCACCTCTTCTGTCTGCCTTGTCCTGCTTGAAACCCGCTGTTCCACTAACCAGAGAGTCCGACATGCGTGATTTGAATGAGGTGACCAATTCAAGGGTGGCGTGGCTGAGCATCGTGTCGCTGCTGGTGTGTGTGAGCCTGGCCGCGCTGCAGCTGTGGCACCTCAAGGCCTTCTTTGAGCGCAAGAAGCTGTTGTGAGGCAGCCTACCGTGTTACTGAGATGTTTGAAAATAATTCTGCTGGTGTTTGTGAGCCTGGCTGCTCAGAAGCCTCAAGGCCCTGTTTGAGAGCAAGAAGCTGCTGTAAGGCAGGCAGATGTACCGTATTTGGGAATTTTGTTATTATTTTGTCAACTATTGTACTTATGCTACGTTACCTTTCAGCTTGGCCCTGGTCTTCATATCTGGAGTAGACCTATTCACTTTCCCAGACTTTTTCACAGGTAAATACAAGCCTCTGCTGCTCTGGCTAGCAAGCAACTGGTGCATCACATTACAGAAGCCAACCATCGGTACCATGGTGCAATGAAATAAGAAGCCTTTCACTGTGGCAATCTTGAAGTAACTCATTTTCCGCCAGTTCTCTTGCTTTTCTACTTCCTTTTACTACCCTCGTCCTCTTCCTCCTCTCCAATCTCTTCACCATCCCACAATCCTGCATCCCCCTCACCCTCCCCATTCCCACCTCCTTCATACTTCTCAATGTACTCGTTTAAGCAAGCTCCAATACGAGCCTTAAGCAGACCAATCGTGTCAGAAAGGCGAACCTTAGGAGCTTCTTGTACTTTCTCCTCCCCTATCGCCATTTCTGTCGCCGGTCCTGCTGCGTCTGGTTGAGCTGCAACTGAGGCGTTTTGAACATCTGCGGAGGTTACGCTGATTTTACGTGGCTCCTCGTTTCTAAGTGACACCACCGCAGAGGCCAATACTGAGGCCATTACCGAGAAATGGCGTACGGGCGCGCAATCCTCCGTCTCTCGATCCCGGGATCAAGTTCACACACCTGATAATTACGTGTCACAAAGTTGGGGATCAAGAGGCAAGGAAAATCATATCGTGAGCGATTCCGCAACCTTGAAGTATGTCATAATGAGTGAGAGAGAGCGAACGAAACGGAAAGCACATATGCGCCTATTCACCTGATAACGACAAGACGGAACGGCGGCGAGAACGAATGGGCGAAGAAGGAGCAAGCGAAGCGCCAGTCCTGTTTATGTGGTTAGAGACGGGAGAAGCGCAATAGTGGATAAAGCGGAACGCTCCGAGATCGAAGAGTCGTTAGAATCAGACTCAGAAAAAAATTGAGATCATTTGCAGAGGAGGCCAAGGAAATAATTGGCTGAATATGTAGGTTTGAAGTGTACTATGAAAATGCAAGTGTGAAGGTATGCCACGAATCTCTAGAATTCGAAAGAAATATGTAACATATATTTTCATGATATTTTACGGTATATGAAGTAAACGGTGACCTAACATAAAAACAAAAAAATTATCATGTGGTTTGGACAATCTGCAGTGGTTCAATAAAATCCTACTTCTACAGCGTTTTACTTAGTGTACAGCGCACAAGTCCCGCGTTCCGGAAAGTCGTATATCGAAAAGATCCGACCCAAAAATATCCTCCATTGTCGACAAGAATCTCTACCATTCCATCTTTCTCGCCTTTCAATCTCAAATTGGGGGTTGATCCTCCCTTGCCATTCCGCCACCCATAACTTCCCGCATTTTCAGCCAGGAAGCGATTCGGCGTCATGGCGGAGGGAAAGCGAGTGCGATTGGGGTTCGTGGGTGAGTGATCAGTTTCTTTTGGGTAACCAGTCGCTGGCTGTCGCTGACTGTCGCCACTCGCATACGCGTCTCGTTGCGACCAGTGTGCTCGATCCTGAATCTCTCGTTGCAAATACTGCTGTATTCTTCGAAATCCCTCCATATGCTTTCCCCTCCCCCTTCTCCACCCCCATTCCGCTCCTAATTTCCCCCAACGCACAGGAGCCGGGCAGATGGCGGAGGCGCTGGCGCGGGGGATGAGCGCGACGGGGGTTGTAGCAGCGAGCAGACGAGTGATTGAGGAGCCCTTGCCCTCCCTTTTCCCTTCCCCCTCCCCCTCCTCCCCTTCCCCCCCGCACACACAGGCGCGGGGCAGATGGCGGAGGCATTGGCGCGGGGGATGAGCGCCGCGGGGGTGGTAGCAGCGAGCGATATGAGCGCCATGGATCTCAGCCAGGAGCGACTGGCGGTGTTTGCCGAGATGGGCGTGGCTGCTAAGACGACGTGCAAGGAGGTGGGCTCCTCTGTATGGTGATAAAGGTGTGGTTTGTTGTGGCAGCGAGCGATATGAGCGCCGTGGATCTCAGCCAGGAGCGACTGGCGGTGTTTGCCGAGATGGGTGTGGCTGCTAAGGCATCTTGTAAGGAGGTATATCCACTGATCCTTTCCCTGAGTAACATGAGCGCCATGAGCGCCATGGATCTCAGCCAGGAGCGACTGGCGGTGTTTGCCAAGATGGGTGTGGCTTCCAAAGCTTCTTGCAAGGAGGTAGGCTCTGCTACAAGGGTTTCGGTTGCCGTGTGTCATACCAGTACAGCCACATGAGCGACACGAGCGCCATGAACCTGAGCCAGGAGCGACTGGCGGTGTTCGCGGAGATGGGGGTGGCTGCGAAGACGACATGCAAAGAGGTAGGCTCCTTTTCATGCTGACAGAACCGAGAGACAGCACCTCCACTATCACAAGCACCCATCTAGTTGTGTCCATTGCTCCCCTTCCCTCCCTGTCTCTTCCTTCCCAACCCTGCCCTGCCGTTCCCTCCCCTCTCATCACATCTCGCAGCAGCCAGTGACGTCATCTTCATAGCAGTGAAGCCCCACACAGTGAAGGCCGTGCTGTCAGAACCAAGGAAGAGCGCTGCCATCACCAGCACGCACCTGGTTGTGTCCATTGCTGCGCTTCCCATGCTGTCTTTCCACTCCCAGCCCTGATCTTCTCCGCCCTTCCCCACCCTTGCTTGCCTTACTCTCCCTTGCCCTACTCTCCCTTTCCCTACCCCAGCTCGCAGCAACGAGTGATGTGATCTTTATTGCTGTGAAGCCCCACACAGTGAAGGCTGTGCTGTCAGAACTCAGGGACAGCGCTCCCATCTCCACTCCATTCCTCTATCCCCTTCTACTCCCTTACCGTCACAGCTTGCGGCAGCCAGTGATGTGATCTTCATAGCAGTGAAGCCCCACACAGTGAAGGCCGTGCTGTCAGAGCTGAGGGACAGCGCTGCAATTACAAGCACCCACCTGGTTGTGTCCATTGCTGCGGGAGTGACGATTGCGAACCTGCAGCAGTGGGCGGGTGACGAGGCGAAGATTGTGCGAGTCATGCCGAACACCCCTTGTCTAGTGGGGGCCACAGCAGCAGGTGAGAAGAGCAGCTGAGGGTGCAGCCAACACATGAATCAGTGTTGCCAATAATGGCAAGTAACAGCTCCTGCAGCAGTGGGCGGGTGAACATGTATTTTAAGCAGTTATTTATTCATTTACATATAAAAATGTTTATCTATTCATTTGTTAAACATTTATTCATTACTATTGCTTAATCTCCCACCCTTCTCACTCCCTGCCTGCGCAGCCATGAGCCTGGGGAGCATGTCGACAGCAGAGGATGCAGCGTTGGTGCGGCGCATGTAAGAGTTATTGGTGTGGGGGGCATGGTAGAATCGCTTACTGAATCCCCTAACTGAACTCCTTCACTCCCCCACTCCTGGTGCCTCCCCTCCCGCCACGCCACTCCACCCCCCAGCTATGAGCCTGGATGGCTAGGCGACGGCAGAGGACGCAGCGTTGGTGCGGCGCATGTTTGAAGCGCCGCAAGCAGCGTCTTTCTAATCTCCCACCCCTGTATCTCCCCATCCCTGGTGTCTTCCCACCCTTCACTCTCCCCTCCCTCGCAGCCATGAGCCTGGGCAGCAAGGCGACAGCAGAGGATGCAGCGTTGGTGCGGCGCATGTTTGAGTTATTGGTGTGGGGGGCATGGTAGAATCGCTTACTGAATCCCCTAACTGAACTCCTTCACTCCCCCACTCCTGGCACCTCCCCTCGCTTTCTGCCAACCCTCCTCCCCCCACAGCCATGAGCCTGGGCAGCAAGGCGACGGCAGAGGATGCAGCGTTGGTGCGGCGCATGTTTGAAGCGGTGGGAAAGATTCAGCAGGTGGAGGAGAAGCTGCTAGACGCTGTCACTGGGCTCAGGTACACAGCATTTGAGAGGTGTGCAAATGGTGCTTGTTCTGTAGAGGTCAACCATGTTTGAAGCGGCGGGGAAGATTCAGCAGGTGGAGGAGAAGCTTTTGGACGGCGTCACTGGGCTCAGGTATAGATGACACAGTGTGTTCCCATACAGGGTGCAATCGGTTTAGAAGCGGTTTGTTCACAAGGTGCGGCATTGTTTGAAGCGGTGGGGAAGATTCAGCAGGTGGAGGAGAAGCTGCTAGATGCCGTCACTGGGCTCAGGTACGCACGTGTGGACAGGTTTGGGAGGTGTGTAAACCGGTGCAGCGCTTGTTACTTTGAAGCGGTGGGGAAGATCCAGCAGGTGGAGGAGAAGCTGCTAGACGCCGTCACTGGGCTCAGGTATGGATGGTGCTGAGTTGACAGGTACGGTGGTGTGTTTGAGAGGTGTGTAAAGCGGTGCTTGATCTGAGCAGTTGGGAGGATCCAGCAGGTGGAGGAGAAGCTGCTGGATGCCGTCACTGGGCTCAGGTATGGATGATGGGCACAGGAATGGCTAGCATGGTGTTCACAGACGTGGTAATGTGTTGTCAGAAGGTGTCTATTGCGGTGCGGTGTATGTTTGAACATGGAAGCGGTGGGGAAGATAAAGCAGGTGGAGGAGAAGCTACTTCTTGACGCCATCTCAGGTCTCAGGTTTCAAGAATGCTCATACCGAACGCTTGACATGGTGTGTCTCGTACGGTGTATAGATGGTTTACAGGGCTCTGTACTCACAAGGTGTTTGAAGCGGTGGGGTGAGATCCAGCAGGTGGCGAGAAGCTGTACGTGATGTTGTCTCCTACTCTCCTCACAATCTGCACCTGGTTTCCTTTCTACCCCCTCTCACATCTCCCCCTCTCAGTGGCAGCGGATATGTATTCATGGCAATAGAGGCGCTGGCGGATGGAGGGGTGGCTGCTGAATTGACAAGAGACATGGATTCTGCCTCATGCCCTTCCCTCTCCCTGCTGCTACTCTTCTTTTCTTGGCCCCCATTTCCCCCTCTCAGTGGCAGCGGCCTGGCATATGTGTTCATGGCAATACAGGCACTGGCGGATGGAGGGGTGGCTGCTTGTAGTGTGTCTGCCAGCCTTCCGCAAGCTGCTCCCCACCTTGTGCCGCTCGATCATGCATATCCCCCCATCTTTCCCTTTGCACTGCCCCTCTCAGTGGCAGCGGCCCGGCATATGTGTTTATGGCCATAGAGGCGTTGGCGGATGGAGGGGTGGCTGCTGGCTGGCCTGCCCAGAGACAGTGATTCTGCCTCATGCCTCATGCCCCTCCTTTCCCTCTCCTCCCTTTTTTTCCCACCTCTCAGTGGCAGCGGCCCGGCATATGTGTTCATGGCCATAGAGGCACTGGCGGATGGAGGGGTGGCTGCTGGCCTGCCCAGAGACGTTGCTCTCTCCCTCGCCGCTCAAACCGTACGTAGCCCTTAATCATCCTGGTTTTCTTCATCAATGTAAGTTGGTCGTTGGCGGATGGAGGGGTGGCTGCTGGCCAAACCCTTTGATCTCTCACTCACCGCTAAACCGTACGTATATTGCCCTTTTTTTTGTCCCAGTGCCCTTAATTTATGCAAGCTAATTAATTACAGTGTAAGCAATGTTTTGTCGAGCTATTCAGATAACCATGTTATTGTTATTGCAAGCAAGCCAAAAAAACTCATTTTTTACTTTCGACTGCACAACCTAAACAGGTGTACGGATCTGCAAAGATGGTATTGGAAACTGGCAAGCACCCAGGCCAACTCAAAGATTCGGTGGCATCCCCTGGAGGTAACACTTTCTGCTTCTTGTAAATGCAAAATTTCTCTGTTACGTCCCTGAAGTCATAGCCTTGTAATAATAACTTGTTTGCTTTTCTTTTTGTGCACAGGTACTACGATTGCAGGCATTCATGCTCTAGAGAAGGGAGGGTTTCGAGCAACGTTGATGAATGCAGTGGTCGCAGCCACGGAAAGAAGCAAGGAGCTCTCAAAGTAGAAGTTAGATGCACAATGAAATTGTGTTTAGTTGTGAAGATTTCTCCTCAAACATTTCATTAGTTTTCTGTTATCTACAATCAAATTGATTTCGCATTTGAATCCAACACTTCAACAACAGCGCGTCTGCACAGGCGAACACGATACTTCCAATCGCAAAGTCCCGCTTGGGGTTAGCGGGGTTCGGGGTTCTAGAGAGGCCTTTCGCTTACGCTCCATCCCATTTTTGAGCAGCAGAATCCTCGAATAATCTTTCTGTTGTTTGAAGTCAGGTGCGTGTTATCGAGCCAGGAGCGTTACTAGGCTAGCCTTTTCCAAATTATCGCGCTTTTCTCTCGTCGCCCTTTTTTCGTGGATTTGGGAGTACCGGAAGTAATGGCGGAGCGGGATGCGCAGGAGGTGGAGGAGAAATTGGGGGAAATTGCGCATAGCGCAGAAGAAGCCGAAGGGGGGGAACATTCGGGGGGAAGCGCGGATCGAGCGGGAGAAGCGGAATGTGGGGAGCGATCAGGGGGGGACGCGGGCGAGTTGATAGGCGGCGGAGGGAGAGGAGGGGCGGAGAGTGAGGAGGAGGGGAGTGGGGAGGGGGATGGGGAGGAGGACGGGAGAGGAGAGGAGAAGAGTGGGAAGGAGGAAGACGGTGAGGAAGATTCAGATGGGGAAGGGGCGGAAGTAGTGGCGGAAGCAGAGGCGGAGATAGAGGCGGAAGGAGAGGCGGAAGAAGAGGCGGAAGAAGAGGCGGAAGGAGAGGCGGAAAGAGAGGCGGAAGCAGGGGAGGAAGGAGAGGCGGAGGCAGAGGCGGAAGGACAGGCGGAAGAAGAGGCGGAAGCAGAGGGGGAAGAAGATGCGGAAGGAGAGGAAGCAGGAGAGGAGGAAAGACCGGAGGAAGGGGGGGAAAACGAGGAGGAGGATGAGGAGATGGAAGGGGAAGAGGAGGAGGACGGAGCAGAAGGTGAAGTGGGAGAGGAAGAGGGAGAGGAGGAGGACGGAGAGGAAGGGGAGGAGGGAGAGGAAGAGGGAGAGGAAGAGGAGGGAGAGAGGGGGGGAAGAGGGAGACGAAGAGGGAGAGGAAGAGGAGGAAGAGGAGGGAGAGGAGGAAGAGGAGATGGAGGAGGGCGAGGAGGGCGAGGAGGGCGAGGAGGGCGAGGAAGGGGAGGAGGGGGAGGAAGAGTATATGGTATTGAGCGAGCAAGCCGTGAGGCAAAAGTAAGTGTCGCCCGTGCAAGTCACGCCCTGCCACGACAGTCCCACCGTACTGCCTCATCCACCCACAAACCCCGAACCCTGCAATAAATAAGAAAGATGAAATTTATGCACACCGCGTGCTCTAACCCCTCACATGCGTGACCGTGCTGCCATGAGTACGTATTGCAAGATTTTGGTTGTAAGAACCCTCAAACCCTTACTTTCTCCCAATGCCCTTACCTCCACCCCTTCTCACGACATCTGCAGGAAACTAGATGACTATGCTCGCTCCTTCGCCCCCATCCCTCACGCCCTTACTTCCTTCCATCCCTTCTCACTTCATCTGCAGGAAACTAGACGACTACGCTCGCTCCTTCGCCCCTATTCCTAACACCCTTACTTCATCCCATTTTCCTTCCTTCCTCCCATTTCCCTTGCTTCCATCCCTTTTCATTAACTTTGCAGGAAACTAGACGACTACGCTCGCTCCTTCGCCCCTATAGTTTGGGAACCCAAAATCGCCCTTCCCTCCTCTTCTTCCTCCTCCACCTTCTCCTCCTCCTCCTCCTCTCCCTTCTCCCTCTCCTCCCTCTCCTCCTCTCTCTTTTCCCGCTCCCTTTTCTCACACCCCCGCCACAAAAACAAGCCCGCCAAAGCTAAACCGCTCCCTCTAAAACCCAGCGCCAGTGCTGACGTGGCAAGGGGCAAGTCTGACGTGGCGAGGGGGAAGAGCACCGGCATCAGGGGGGTCACTGTAGCAACGACTGGGTCGGCACGGATCGTATTGAGGGAAGCTTCCGAACCGGGTGGCATCAGAAGCACGACGGGAATTCGATTGTCTGTGATCAAGGAGAAAGGGAAGGAGGGAGTGCAGGGGGGAGGAGGTAAGGGAGGGGAGGGAGGAGAGGGGAAAGGGAGCATGGGAGGTGCAGGAGTAAGGGGAGGTGGGGAAGGGGAAGGGGGAGGGAAGGGGAGGGAGAAGTGGGTGGAGGGTCAGTTGCAGGTGCCCCCAAAGGACCCTCACAAGCTGGCCCAGATTGCGCGCAAGAACAAACCCAACACCGCCGGACCCAAATGGTGAGTTTCTCTTTGTGAGGCGCCTTATAACGAAAAATCCTTTATGTAGCTGCCAGTACCTTCCCAGAGAATAAAACTTGTTTTTCTCTCTCTCTCTCTCTCTCTCTCTCTCTCTCTCTCTCTCTCTCTCTCTCTCTCTCTCTCTCTCTCTCTCTCTCTCTCTCTCTCTCTCTCTCTCTTATTTTTGTCCCATGTGGTTGTGACTCCCAGGTATGACCTTCCTGCACCAGACATAACTCCTGAGCTCAAGACAGAGCTTCAGCTGCTGCGGGTAACATGCCGCCTCACTCTCAGTCTCAGTCTCAGTCTCAGTCTCAGTCAGTCTCAGTCTGTCTCAGTCAGTCTCAGTCTCGGTCTCAGTCTCAGTCTCAGTCTTAGTCTCAGTTCCAGTCTGTCTCTGTCCCAGTCTCAATTTACAGTATTAGCCTTCTTTCTTTATTCTGCTCTATAAGTTTTGTAACTGGGATTGGAAATGCATTTTGATAATCGTGGTCATTCTCCCTGTCTGTGACTGTGACTCACTGTGCCCTGTGCTTCTGTGTTCAGATGAGGAACGTTCTAGATCCCAAGAGACATTATCGATCGGCCGACTCCAAGAAGCTTCCAACACACTTTCAGGTACCCGTTTTCATTATCAAGCACCAAGGAAAACCTTTCTCGTTCCCTAGGTTAATGTCATGACTAGTGCTTCCCGTCGTCTACTCGCTCTGGCTGTCAGGCAACATCTGTCCTTTTCCCTTTGATCATCATTTGCATATGAAGCATTTGTTAACCCCTTGAACCCCTTCCCTCACGACCCAGAGAAGCTAACACTGCAGACCCGCACAGTGGCAGAGGGAGCAGCGGTGATTTAGACTTGTCTGCCAAGAAGCTAATGCTACACACTTCTTAGGCGCCTCAGATACTGATACAAATTCTTAGGCGCCTAAAATATCAGAGGGAGCAGCAGAGTGCTTTAGATTTTTCCGCCAAGAATCTAATGCTGCACATCCGGGCAATGATTATTCTTTCTGTCGCTCCTCTGTTTGTTCCCATGCTTCAGATCGGCACAGTGGTGGAGGGAGCAGCGGACTTTTACAGCAGCAGGTTGACGAGGAGCGGGAAGGGGAATGAGGTTTCACTTGCCCGTCACTGCCAGCCATGCATCCTGCCCCTTTCATTGCCTCCTTCACTTGTCCTCCTCATCTTCAGATCGGCACAGTGGTGGAGGGGGCAGCGGACTTCTACTGCAGCGACTGACACGGAGGGAGAGGAAGCAGAGGGACTTGTTGCCATTTGCTCCTCATCATCTGCACTCCCTCTCGCTTGTCTCTCTCCCTTACATTCCTCATCATCAGATCGGCACAGTGGTGGAGGGAGCAGCGGACTTTTACAGGTGCAGGTTGACACGGAGGGAAAGGGGAATGAGGTCTCACTTGCCCGTCACTGCACTCCTAACTTCCGCCCTGCCATTCCCCCCTTCTCTTATCCTCCCCATGTTTCAGATTGGCACAGTGGTGGAGGGAGCAGCGGATTTCTACAGCAGCAGGCTGACACGGAGGGAGAGGAAGCAGAGGAGCGTATTACCCTTCCCTCAGCATTGTCTGTACTCTCTCCCTTGCCCCTCTCTTTCCATGTTTCAGATTGGCACAGTGGTGGAGGGAGCAGCAGACTTCTACAGCAGCAGGTTGACACGGAGGGAGAGGAAGCAGAGCTTTGCGGCAGAGCTGCTGCATGATGAGGATTTGAAGAAATACAGGTGAGGCAAAATGCACGTTGGTGCTGGTGGTGGGAAGGGGAGGGTGCTGGTGCTGGTAGGGGTTGATCAGTGCTGCTCCTTATGGTTGGAAGCAGAGCTTTGCAGCAGAGCTGTTGCACGACGAGGACCTCAAGAAGTACAGGTGAGTGCGGAACACAGGGTAGTGGTGCTTGTGGGAATGGGGCGCTGCTGCTAGTGCTGGCGTTGCAGCACGACAAGGACTTGAAGAAATACAGGTGAGGCAGTTGCACAATGCTTTCCAGTTTTAAAAGACAGTAAACCGTTTCTCGCGGCAGGAACTTCGGCTTTTACCCTGTCCATTTGGCCTTCTTCCCACCCCCCAACCCTCGCATCCTCCCCCCTCCCTCCCTCCCCCATTTTCCCTTCCCCTTGTTATGGCCGGTGCAGGAAGCGCAAGTTCCTGGAAATTGCGGAGGAGAATCAGTGCAAGGGCAGGAAGCACCTGGTGAAGAAACAGGATAGGAAGAACCCCACGTGGGCCAGAGCAGCACCCAAATGAAGAGGCTCTCTATGTGTTGAGTAGATATGCTAAGTGCAGCAGTATGCCTTGGGCTTTTTTGAGTCGACTCAAAAAGAACCCCACTTGGGCCAGAGCAGCACCCAAATGACAAGGGCGTCTGTTTCATGTCATGCTTAGTGTTAGGTTTTTACTCCATAACGAAGGGCAAGCTTCTGGTGAAGAAGCAGGATAGGAAAAACCCCATGTGGGCCAGGGAAGCACCCAAATGAAGAGGCTCTCTATGTGTTGAGTAGATATGCTAAGTGCAGCAGCATGCCTTAGCTTTTTGTATGCACATCTGGGTATGTGTGCACGTCTGTACTTGTCTTTCTAGCAGGATAGGAAGAACCCCACGTGGGCCAGGGCGGCGCTCATATGAGAAGGCTTCATGTTGAGTCGTGTATGCTACTGGTAAGTGCAGGTGGGCCTTTGCTTTCTGTGTGTAAATCCAGGGAAGAAGCAGTATGGGGAGGAGAGCCCACATCGGTCAGGGCAGTATTTACTGGTAAGTGAGAAAGCACCATCGTGAGAAAGCTCAGAGCAAAGCATGCGTAAAAGCATGTGGGCATGCTTACATGACCGCTAGTCGTGCCTCAAACATGGTTACAGTTGCCAATACATGGGCAGATGAAGCTCGTATTCACCCAATGGCCTCAAATACACTGGAGATAACATCATTCGATACCAGAAACCCCTCTGGATCAGTCAGCCGCATCCTAAGGCCCTGCCATCTCACCTCCCTATTATCACCATCAACAACACCCTCACCAGTACCACCCTCACTCCTTACAAAACGGCCTTCCACCCCCTCCCTCACTCCCTCTCCATCCTCTCTCACACCACCATCTCCCACACCCGCTACACTCCCCTTCTCTTGAGCAACCATAGATTCCCACTGCTGCTCCAATGCTCTCAAGTTCTGTTCTCCACACACAGCCTCTATGCTACCAGCGGGCATCACCTGCACTATTTCCACCAATCCCGTCTTGACAAACTTCAACAGCGCTTTCCCCACCGCCGCTGCTGCCTCCGCGCCGAACCTACCCGCCAGCTCCGGCATTCCCAAGCCTTCCCCGAGCCTAAGCCCGAGCATGACTGTATCTAGCAGCTCCTCTTCTTTAGAATCCTCCGGCCAATCAATCAAACCGTTGCTAGCTTCGTACTTGCCGACCCACTCCCCATACCCATCCCAGGTTCGGGGCCGAACAAACCTCTTCCGAGCCACGTAGCTGGCCGCGCCGAGCCCGAACCCCAGGTACGGGAAATTCGTCCAGTAGGTCCGGTTGTGCCGAGACTGGAAGCCAGGCTTGGCATAGTTGCTAACCTCGTAATGAACGTATCCCGCTGCACGAAGCTGCCTGGAAGCTTCCCGGTACATGTCAGCGGAAAGATCGTCGGAGGGGAGGGGGGAGCGGCCTTGGGAATACCATCGACTGTCATCGGCTGTCTTCCCCTTTTGGCCTTGGGAATACCATCGGCCAAAGGCTGTGCCTTGCTCCACCTGCAAATCATAGACTGACACGTGGCTGGGGCCCAGACGGATCACTTCTGAGAGGGAGTGCTGCCAGCTGTCGAGAGTCTGACCTGGCAGGCTGCCATTGGTTGGGGTGGGAAAGAAGGGAGGATTGGTAAAAGGGTTGGCACGAGGTGTATGGGTCGTAGAAAGAAATCAAATAAATATTGCATACGACTAGCATGTACATGGCAATGATGGTGACACTATGGTTGCACCCTCCCTTCCTTGGGGGGAACATAACATACATACTTGCTGAAATGAGATCCAAGCTCCAGTTGTTCAGACCCACACGTTTCACTGCGTCAACACCATCGTACACGTCAGAAAGAGAGTGGGAATGAATCCCCCTCCCCCCACCCACGCATACAACCAGTCAAGTGTCGACTCCCTTATTTCTGATTCGCTTTGCTCACTCACCCAGAGATCAAATCCAGGCTCCAATTCTCCAGTCCCACACGCTTCACGGCGTCAACAGCATCGTACACGTCAGCAGGCGAGTGGAGATTGATCCTCCCCCACCCACGCATACAATCAACGACCCCTTTCTTCCTGGTTCGCGTTGCTCACTCACCCTGAAATCAGATCTAAGCTCCAATTCTCCAGTCCCACACTCTTCACGGCGTCAACAGCATCGTATACGTCAGCGAGCGAGTGAGATCTCCCACACGCCTTCAGCAGTGCCTCGTCAAACGCCTGGCATCCTACACTCAGCCTCGTCACTCCCGAGCCTTCCACCCAGGCTCGGAGCCGAGCCTCGTCGAACGTGCCAGGGTCGGCCTCCAAGCAGATCTCTGCGTCCGGAGCAAGGCCGTAGGTTTGGCGAAGGGTGTCGACGAGCCTGGAGAGGAGGTCTGGCGGGAGGACGGAGGGGGTACCTCCTCCAAAGTGGACTGTGAGAAGAGGAGAGTGAGGAGGTAGAGGAGGAGGACTGGCTTTAATCTCCCTGACCACCTGATCCACGTAATTCTCCATCTTCAATCTCAGCCGTTCATGGACAGACGGGTCCCTGGCCCCAACTGTGACTATAGGGAAGTCACAATAGTGACAGCGGCGGCGACAGAAGGGGATGTGAATATAAGCGGAGAGGGGAGGAGAGGACGCGATGCCATGACCGGAATTCAGGGTGGGAATTAACGGGTCCTGGACACGTGGCCGATCCTGATTGGTTGAAGGTGACTGGGCCGTTGTGGAGTTGCGGATGTGACTACAACGAAGTACGAGATGGAACGTCGATCTTTGGGTAAATGACGGTTGTGAATTAGAGTGAGGTTGGGGAAAGGAGGAGGTGGAGGAGAAGGGGGAGGTATAGGAGGAGGAGGAACCATGGCTGATGGTAACCCAGGATGATCTAAGACTAGAAAGATTAGACCTGGCTGACGTGGCAAGCAGGACGGGGCTATGGTGACGACGGTGGTGATGCAATCGAGCGACGGGTGCGATTCTTGCGACGTAAAACGCGACTTGCGATGGCGACACGGATCGCAGAGCAACGCTCAGGCGACCTGGAAGGCCTCTCGCGTGCGGATTCATGCGAGCTATCTCTGTGCTGCCGCTGATCGCACGGACTCAAATGACAGATTACAGAAGCTACTTTGATCGCCGGTTTCGCCGTTAGTAGCGCCTCTGTATTGTGGTGTCGATTTGAGACTTGCTATGTGGGGGCATTCCTAGGGCTCTCTTGTGCTTCGCTTGGTCACATGCAACGGCACAAAAAGATACTGCTGGTTCTGGAATGATTGAGAGCGTTTCTGTGTAATTCTGCATTCGACTCACAAACACGATTTTCACCTTCATAAGGCGCTTCGATACAAAAGCTGCATCACCTTTCATTGTCAAATTAGACATTATCATCGATATGTTCATACCCGCCAGGCCACTCTCAGAGGTCCAATGACTTCCTGCCCTGCTAATGTTCCCTTCCTTACAAGAGGAGCTCACAGGGGCTCACACCACCATGCTTTCCCTCGAGTGCAACAGGGTCACTCATGAGGCCCAGTCTTGGTAAGCCGCACACACAAAGCACAGTGCTAGTTAGATAACATGAAGATCCAAGCAGCATCTAGAGTTTGATAATTAATATTAAGACTTCAACAAGCAGTTCGGTATGACCCAAGACGTCGACCTTTTAATCTTCTCCTCCTCCAGCAACCTATTCTTCTCCATCAAGATATCCCTTTCAAGCCTAAGCTTCTTAACCTCAACTTTTGCAATATCCAGTGCTTTTAAATACTCCTCCGCTCTGTCTAAACTCTCTCGCCCCGCCACCGCCACTTCTGCCGCCTCCTCCCTCTCTTCCATCAGCACTGATAGCTCCCTCTGCAAAGCGTCTATCCGTCTATCTGCAGCCATCATCGCCGCGTCTTTCTCCCTTCGCGCTGCATTCGCCCTCGCGTTCGCCGCTGACAGCTCAGCACGCACCGATGCCACCTCAGCGTTGGCCGCTGCCAGCTTGGCATTCGCAGCCGCGGCGACTTCTTGCAGCTGGTGCAACGCGGCTGCTTCGCGTTCCCTCGCGCGCGCCAGACCGCCTTTTAGCAGCTGCACTTCCGCTCGCAGGACTCGCACCTCTTCAGGCTCTTCTGCTGGTGGTGACTCGGAGGGTAAGCCAGCTTCGGCTGGAGGTATTCCTAGACCGTGTTCCTTGGACCGCGTCTCCATGGTGGTTGTCATTTCAGCTCGGAAACGTCAATCGGGCCGAAGTAGCGTCTACCTGATAAATAACAACTTGGAACCTTCAAAAGCACATTCAGGATATGGTATGCCTCCGTTGAAACCACGTTGCCGCGATTGAATTAGACGCTGTTCCGCGAAAATGAAGGTAAATTTTTCAGTGCCTGGGATCCCTACAACGTCGCACAGATAAGAACTTCTTCTCGTCAGCCACAACGTAGAATACGCAGAAGACGATATTCGAACGGCCGACGGCGCAGTTTCAACGAGATGTGAAGTGAAGCGACTTGTGCTAGCTGCTCTCTCGATGCATGAAACGCGTAGACATGCTTGAGAAACAAAACCATTCCTGCAATCAAACCCTGTGGTAAATTTATGGCGAGGTGAATCAGCGCTGGCGGCAATCCCTATGGCTGGTTGTTGGCACAGCTGGGGTTGGTGGCGGGCGACCTGGGTTGGAGTGTGGTTGGTGTGCTGATGGACATTGACGAATGAGAGGAGAGGTGGGAGTCAACAGATATACTCGATACTGAGAGACCTCATCTGCGCAACAACAAGTGGAATATGATAACATTCACTCCATACAAAGGATCTGTCAGAAATTCAACAATCCACTGGAAACATCGGATGTGCTGCTACAGGTCAATAATACAGAATCAGAGGCGAACTGGAAGCCTCCAAGTGAATGGAATTATATATGCTACCATCGTCCGCATGTTCTTTGTGCCCACATCTATGATGGGTAGGTACACAATGGGATGGTGATATACAAGTACATAATACTGTACAGCTACTGTACAGTAGAACACAATAC